TTGTTCTTGCAGAAGACCCAGGTTCGAATCCCAGCACCCACATGGCAGCTAACAACTGTCTCTAACTCCAGTCCCAGGGGACCTGAGAGCCTCTTCTGACTTCTGCAGGCATTGCAAGACACAGGTGCATTTACTTACATGCAGGCAATACACTCATACACATAAAATAAAAATAATAAATTAAAAAAATATTTAAAAATAAAAAATGGAATTACCAGGGTTAGAGAGATGGCTTAGTGGTTAAGAGCACTGGCTACTCTTGCAGAGGACCAGAGTTCAGTTCTGGGCACCCACATGGCAGCTAACAATTGTCTGTGACTCCAGTTCCAGGGGATATGATTCCCTCTGGTCTCTGTGGGCATTGCACACACATACATGCAGGCAAAACACTCATACACATAAATAAAAAGAAAGTAAAATTATTAAAAATGGGATTACCATATGGTCTATCACTTCCATTTCTGTGTATATCTCCAAAAGAGCTAAAAGCAGGGAAGCAGGGTTGTTTTTGTTTTTTTGTTTTGTGTGTGTATTGTGTGTATATGTGTGTGAGACTTATGCATGTGGTTGTAGGGGGTATGTAAGGTCACATTGAGTGTCTTCCTCTATCACACTTTCTTCTTGTTCCTCTTTTCCTCTTCCTCCTCCTTCTTCTTCTTTGTATTATTATTACTCCTTGAAGAAGGGTCTCACTTTGTTGCCCAGACTAGCTTCAAACTCCTGAGCTCAAGTAATCCTCCTGTTTCAGCCTCCTGAGTATCCATGACTGCTGGCTGGGGCCAGTGAGAGAAAGCCTTACAGGGTAGGGACACCTGCTTGGTAGGACAGCACGCACTGTACAGCCTTAAACCAAGGTTCCCAGACTATCTCCTTGTCAGATGGCCCACAAAAATAGTGAGGATGTCCATCTAGAAGATTTGGCTGGCCTGGAACTCTCTATGTAGACCAGGCTGGCCTCCAACTCACAGAGATCTACCTACCTCTGCCTCTCAAATGCTGGGATTAAAGGTGAGAGACATCATACCCAGCTTTAATTAATTAGTTTGCTTGTTTGAGACCAGGTTTCCCTGTAGCCCCAGCTGGCCTGGAACTGCCTATGTAGACCAGGTTGGCCTGGATCTCCCAGAGATCTGCCTGCCTCTGCCTCCTGAGTGCTGGAACTAAAAGTGTGGGCCACCATGCCTGGCTTGGTTTTATTTTATTTTTTATTTTTTTTGATATTTTTGAGACAAGGTCTCCCTGTAGCCCCAGCTGTCCTGGAACTCACTATGTAGACTAGGTTGGCCTTGAGCTCATAGAGATCCACCTGCCTCTGCCTTCCAAATGCTGGGATTAAAGGCATGCACCACCATGCCCAACTTTGGTTTTACTTTTTTAAGTTTATTTTTATTTATTTATTTTTATTTTATGTGTATTCCTATATTGCCTGCATGTAGGTAAGTGCACTCATGTTGTGCAGTGCCCACAGAGATCAGAAGAGGCCTTCAGATCCCTGGGACTGGAGTTACTGACAGTTGTTAGCTGCCATGTGGGTGCTAGGATTCAAACCCGGGTCTTCTGCAAGAACAACCAGTGTTCTTAACCGCTGAGCCATCTCTCCAGCCCCTATTTTTATTTTATATGTATGAGTGTTTTGCCTATGTGTATGTTAAGTGCACCATCTGTATGCAGTTTCTGATGAGGGCAGGAGAGAGCATCAGATCCTCTGGAACTGGAATTACAACAGTTGTTAGCCATTGTATGGGTGCTGGGAACTGAATCCAGATCCTCTGCAAGAGAAGCTAGTGTTCTTAACTGCTTAGCCATCTCTCCAGTCCCCCACATCATCCTATTTAATTAATTTATATGGGTGTTATGCCTGCATGTATGTAAGTGTACCAGCTATGTAATGCCCACAGAGGAATAAGAGGGCATTGGATACCCTGGAGCTGGAGTTATGGATGGTTGTTAGCCGCTAGTGGGTGCTGGGAATCCAAACCTGGATCTTCTGCAAGTGTAGCCAAATGCTCTTAACCACTGAGCCATCGCTCCAGCCCTTATTATTATTTTATTTATTTATTTTTTATATTTATTTTTAATTAATTAATTTTTCTGCCTCCCAAGTGCTGGGATTAAAGGCATGCACCACCACACCCGGCCCATTATTTACTTTATATCTATGAGTATTTTGCCTGCACATATGTAAGTGCACCATGTGCATACAGCGCCTGGGAGGCCATAAGAGGGCATTGGATCCCCTGGAACTGGAGTTATGGACAGTTGTTATCTGTCATATGGGTGCTGGGAACCAAAACAGGGTCTTCTACAAGAGCAGCCAGTGCTCTTAACTGTTGAACTATCTCTTCAGTCCCCTCATTATTACTATTATTTATCTGCCTCATTCCATCCCCACCAGCACTGGGGCTACAGGTGCAGGACACCTTGCCTGGTTTTCCACCTGGGTGCTGGAGATCCAAGCTCAGGTCCTCACATGTGTGCCTGTGCTTGTGCACTAAACAGCTCTTGAGTGCACCAAGTTCTCTCCTCAGCCATAAAGCAGGGTCTTGTACACCCATGTTTACAGCGTTAGTCACAGTAACTAAACGTGGAAGCAATCCAAGTGTCTGTCTGAGAATGACAGGACGACAAAATGTGGTACAGGCGTACAATGGAACATTGACTGGCCTTTAAAGAAGGAGGATTCTGACATATGCTGTGACAGACACTTCCAGGGCTCATGCTAAATCAAATAAGGCAGTTACAAAAAGGCATGTACTGGGGACCTGAGAGATGGCTCAGCAGCCGAGAGTGCTCGCTGATCTTCTAGAGGACTCAAGTTCGGTTCTCAGCCCCTATGTCCAGCGACTCATAATGGCCTGTAGCTCCAACTCAAAGGGATCCAATGGCCTCTATACCCATGTACATATGCAGCTCACAGCCATCTGTAAATTCAGCTTTGGATGTCTCTGACCTCTGAGGGCACGTGCACACACACACACACACACACACACACACACACACACAATTAAAAATGAAATAAATTGGGCTGAAGAGATGCCTCAGTGGTTAAGGAGCACCCAATTTCAGTTCTCAACATCCAAATGAGGACTCAAAACCAGTTCCAAGGAAATTCGATGCCTTCTTCTGACCTCTTCAACATTGCATGACATGGGTGCACTTATATACTTATATACTTAAAAAAAAAAAAGACTGCGGGGGCTGGAGAGATGGCTCAGCAGTTAAGAACACTGGCTGTTCTTGCAGAAGACCTGGGTTCGAATCCCAGCACCCACATGGCAGTTAACAACTGTCCATAACTCCAGTTCCAGGGGATCCAACAGCCTCTTCTGACCTTCTCAGGCACTGCATGACATGGGTGTACTTACCTACAAGCAGGCAATACTTGCATACACATAAAATTTAAAAAAAAAACGCTGGGCGTGGTGATGCACACCTTTAATCCCAGCACTCAGGAGGCAAAGGCAGGCAGATCTCTGTGAGTTCAAGGCCAGCCTGGTCTACATAGTGAGTTCTAGGCCAGCTGGGGCTATGGGGAGACCCTGTCTCAAAAAGACCAACAAACAAACCAACCCCCAAAACTAAACTGGGTGTGGTGGAGCATGCCTTTAATCCAAGCACTGGGGAGTCAGAGGTAGGAGGATCTCTGTGAATGTAAGTTTGAGGCCAGCCTGGCCTACATAGCGAGTTCTAGGCCACCTGGGCTACAAGAAGACAAGAGACAGTCTCAAAAAAGAAAACAAACAAACGAAACCACCAAAACAATACAAAAGGTAGGTTTGGGGCTCAGTAGAGCTACTTGGATCTCTGATTTCAATGCATCGCCCAGCATGCACAAGGCCCTGAATTCAACCCCCAGCACCATAAAAAAGGAAACTTTATTATGTCTATCTTTTTATGATTTATTTTTACTTGTACAGTGTTATGATTGCTGTTATGTATTCTGGTCTGTGTGTAGTGCCTGTGAAGGCCAGAAGAGGGTGACAGACCTGCCATGTAGGTGCTGGGAGTCAAACCTAGGTCCTTTGGAAGAGTAGCAAGTGTTCTTAATCACCAAGCCACCTCTCTACTCCCACGTTATATCTATGTTAACCCACTAGAAGAGAACACATTATCAGGAAGAAAATAAAAGTCCCTGCAACAAAATGTATCCTATCAAAATCTGTTTCCGTCTGAAATCCCTTCCTAGTAGAAAGAAAAAGGGTGAGGAGGGGAGTCTGGGATTCGAAGATCAAAAGGCTATGAACTGAGCGGGACCCAGTGAGGTCACTGCTGCTGAACTGGCCTCCAGGGCCCCATCTGTAACAGACCCATCTTAGCATGGCCCCATGCTCTCTACCCTGTTTGGTCCAGTCCTCCTCCGACTAGAAGTAGCTGATTCTATCCTCTGCTTTGACTAGGTAGTGACCTTTCTGAAATCTAGATCTGGCTGCATGCCTGTCCTGCCCCAAATCCTTCAGCAGCTCCTCATGGCCCCAGCTTCCGCCTTGCAGGCAGCAAGATTGTTTTCAGCTGACGCCAACCTGTCCTCCAGCCTCACAGTACTGCCTTTCCTGAGTCCTGAGTTCTTTTGTTACACGTCATAACCGTATTAAATATCTTCCATGCAGAAATTAGCCACAGCTATTCCTAGTTTCTTCGTGTACCTTGCAATATAGGTTCCATAGACTCTGGCAAGAGATGGGGAAACAGAGTCTCACACAGGCCAGATGGAACTCAGAGGTCCATGGTCTTTCTACTGCTCTGTCATACACTTTAGTACCTTGGTGTCTGCTTATGCCTGAGCATAAGCCTATTGGCCCAGGTCTGGCACAGAATTACATCCAATCACCCTAGTGTGCCCTGTGTGCCCCCAGGAATTCCCAGCCTCACCATTTTATGTGCTAGAGATGTCTTTCACTTGTTCACATATTTAACATCTTTGTCCCACTTAGAATGTTAGCTTCAAGCCGGGCATGGTGGTGCATGTCTTTAATGGCAGAGGCAGGCGGATCTCTGTGAGTTCAAGGCCAGCCTGGTCTATATAGTGAGTTCCAGGGCAGCTGGGGCTACAGGGAGACCCTGTCTCAAAAAGACCAAAAAAATAAAAAAAAAGAACGTTAGCTTCAAGAGAGTAAAGGCTGTATCTGCCTGAGTTTCCAGCCTCTGGAGTCATGCCAACCAGACAACAGATGCTCAATAAACAGCTGCTGATGGTCAGACTGTCACACTCCTTCCCACCTCCTCTGTGAGGATGGAGAACCTGTTAGCCCCTTGCACAAGGCTGGCAGGTCTACCTCCCTGGCCAGACCCCAATCACCTTCTTACCAAACACCTACATTAGTCGCCAATATTTGCAATGGTTTGTGGTGGTAACACACTTTGATGAGATTTAGAATCATCATGGAAACAAATGTCTGGACATGTCTGTGAGGGCATTTCTAGGTTGGGTTCATTGAGGTGAGATCTACCCTAATTGTGGGTGGCACCAGCTCATGGGGTCCTGGACTGAATGAAAAGTAGAAAGTGAGCTGAGCACCCATATTCATTGTTCTCTGCTTCTTGACTGTGGATACAAGTCTACCAGCAGCCTCGGGCTCCTTCGGCCGTGACTTTCTCCCAGTGATAGACTGTACTGTTTTCTCACAGCAAGAAGAAAAGTAACTAATTGTTCCTGCTTCCTTCTCACTATGAAGGAAGAATCAGGCACACCCCCCAGAGGGAGGGACAGGCCTCCAGCATGCCTTTTGGGATGGAGTTTCTCCCAACAGAACCTACTGGTCTTGGAGACTGGCCCACCGTCAGCAGGAAACATGGGGTGGGTACAGGCTGCTCAGCCACCAGCAGCAGCATGCTTTATTGCAACCAGAATTCCCTGGTCATGTGAGGAAGGGGATGAATAGGGCAAGAGAAAGGACACATCTGATCACTAATACCAGGCTCCCAGTCCTGGACTCAAAGACAAACAGGAACAGCCTGGCTCTTCCCTTGCTCCTAAGTCAGGGCATCGGATGAGGCTGAGGCAGGGGAGTTGGAAAGGGGGAGGAGTCCATTTCAGCAGAGCCTTCCTTCCAGGGGCCTGAGGGAAGGGGGGCAACTGGTGATAGGGGTCCAAAGAACCCATGAGGCTCAGGGCACTTTGGACTGACACATGCCCCCTGAGGACAGCCAGGATGCACTCTATGTCCACTGGGAGAAGTAGGAAGGGAAACAAAGGCTCAAAATGACAATCACTGGCCAGCACCCACTGGTGGGACCTGGAGTCCTGATGGCTAGGCCAGGGCCATGTCCATAGCCCACATCCAGGCATCATCCCAGCCTGGGTGCCCTGTCTGATCAGCCAGCCAAGGGTCTTAAGTGGGGATCTGCACACGGCCCAGGTCCTGATCCATGATCTGTAAGACGTCATCCAAGATGGAAGGCCCCAGGTCCACATGCAGGGACAGCAGAGAGCTGGCGTGGGACAAGAAGGGCTCCTTGGCCTCTGACTCTGGGGTCATCCCATTGTGGGGCGAGCTAGCCTCTGGAGTCCTCCAGATGTCCACACTTCCTGCCTCCTGTGGGGAGGGCTTCGGGGAATGCTGGGGTGACTCCAGGTGCAGGCGAGGTGGCTTAGGTGGGGCTTGGGCTGTGGGCAGGGTGAGGGCCTGGGGGCCACCAATGACCGGAAGGGAGATGGCATTCTTGAGCAGAGGTGACAGCCCATCGGGGAGCTCTCGCCCACACACTGTGGCAGTACGGGTGAACTGGAAGGGGAGGTCGAAGCTGCTGTCCTCCTCTGGCTCCACTGCTGTTCCAGGCAGGAGGTGGAACTTGCCCTGCAGGAAGGAGATGTCCCCAAACATGTCATCGCCACCACCACTGCCAATATGAATGGTGTGACGGAAGTCCCCAAGTGGCGGGCTGATCATGTCTGAAGACAGCAGGTCCCGAAGCTTTTCTTTCTTGCCTTTGCGGCTGCCACGCTTCAGATAGATGGGGACCTTGGTGGACATGGTGACCTCAGCACACAGCTCTGACTGCTCAGTCTACGGCTTACAAAGCCTCCTCTCAACACCCTTACGCTGAAACACTGGCTCCAGAGGCTTTCAAAAGGCCAAAGAATATGATCAGAGTTGGCCCAAAGAATTAGAAAAAAAAAAAAAAAAAGATTGAAGACCAGTGTAGATGGACTGTCAGAATAAATACGCTCCAAACTTTTTTCTTAAATGGATGAAAATCCTTTCTGGAGAACTGGAGGCAGAAAGGTGGGGTTCTTGCCAGCAGCAATGTGCTTTGGTCTTGTCCCAAGATTCTCTCCTTGGTCCAGGGTTGAGGAACTGAAATAAAGGGACATGAAAGTCAGGGACAGGAAGACAAAGGACAGTAACCTACAAGAGCCAGGTGAGGAGGCGCGGGCCAGTGATCCCAGCACTCAGAAGGCACAGGCAGGAGCATCTGGAGTTCAAGGCTAGCCTAAGTTACATGAGATCCTGCTTCAAAACAACAAACGACAAAAAGGGCTGAGGGTGTAGCTCGGTTGGTAGAGTGATTACCTAGCATGAGTGAAGCAAGTCCTGGGTTTGATCCACAGCACCGCATAAAATCATGCATGGTGGTACAGCCAGGAAGCTCAGCAGTTGGGAGGTGGAGGCAGCAGGATCAGGCATTTAAGGCCATCTCTGGCTACATACCAAGTTCTGAGGGTGAGGCCGTCCTGGATACAAGAGACCTTCATGGTGGTGCACACCTTTTTTTTTTTTTTCACACTTTTAATCCCAGTACTCGGGAGGCAGAGGCAGGCAGATCTCTATGAGTTCCAGGCTAGCCAGGGCTACCTAGTAAGACCCTGTCTTAAAAAAAAAGACAAAACAAAAAACCCCTCTTCTGACCTCTGTGGGCACTGCACGACACAGGTACACTTATATTCATTCAGGTAATACACTCATATACATAATAAAATATGAAAAAAAAACCTCTCAGCCAAGTGTGGTGGCGCACACCTTTAATCTCAGCACTCGGGAGGCAGAGGCAGGCGGATCTCTGTGAGTTCAAGGCCAGCCTGGTCTACATAGTGAGTTCAGGTCAGCTGGGACTACAGGGAGACCCTGTCCAAAAAAAAAAAAAAAACAAAAAAAAAACACCCCCCCAAACTCTCTTATTTCTGGTCCCCCTTTGTCAGCCCTGGGAGCCCAACTGAGGTCACTGTCCTTAGGGGGAGGCTGCCAGAAAGTACATCTCCAGGCTAGGGAGATAGCTCAGCAGCTTAGAGCACTGGTTGCTCTTCCAGAGATGAGCGTTCAGTTCCCAGTATCCACATGGTGACTCACAACCATCTCATAACTCCAGTTCCAGAGGGTTCAATGCTGGCTTCCATGGTTACTGCACATACATACAAGCAGGCTAAACTCTCATATACATAAATTAAAAATAAATAAATAAAATACTTTATAAAAAGTACATGTCTTCATGGGCCCACTGTGTCTTACAGAATAATATCAAAACAATACTAAGTCCTCCTCTTTTTTTTTTTTTTTGTCTTTTTGAAGCAGGGTCTCTCTATGGCTCCAGCTGTCCTAGAACTCACTATGTAGACCAGGCTGGCCTTGAACTCGCAGAGATCTGCCTGCCTCTGCTTCCCAAGTGCTGGGACTACAGGCATGTGCCACCACGCCCGGCTAAGTCCTCCTCTTTTTTTTTGCCACCACGCCGGGCACAAGCCTTGGTCTCTTCTCTGCTTGTCTGCCGTACCGGGTTACTCACTCTCTTCCCTGATCTCCATCAGCTGTGTTACCTCACAATCAGTGCCACGTTGTATTGAGTGTCACCACTGGTCTCAACTCCCTATTCAACTAAGGATGGAGAGTTTGAGAACTGCCTCTCTCACCCAGGACTGGCACAGGGCTAGGCACACAGTAGTTGTCCAGCCAACAATGCCAAATGGCCAACACTTCCCACTGGATCCAATCATGTCCCACTTGAGGTCACCTTCTTGGCGTTTCCTCCTCCTGAGTCTAATGGTGTCTGGTCCCTCTCCCTGCTCCAGCACCGAGAGAGAAGATGGAAGGGAGAGTGGCTCAGCTGCTCTTACAGAGGACCTGGATTTGATTCGCAGCACCCACATGGTGGTTAACAAACATCTCTAACTGCAGTTTCAGGGGAATCCAACACCCTCTCTGACTTCTGTGGGCATTTCAGGACACAGGTGGTGCACTTACATACATGCTTGCAATACACTTATACACATAAAAAATTTGAAAATAAATAAAATATTTTAAAAATTGGGGAGGTGGTATTCTCCTGAGCTCTTTGCAAATACATCAGCTAATTATCACAATCATCCAACCATCATTTGAATATTAGCACTCTCCTGGCTGCGCAGCTGTGTGGCAAAGTGCTTCCTTAGCATGTACAAGTGGGAAGCATCAGATCCATTTTGGACCCCCACAAGACAATTCAAAATGGGAAAACATGGTAGAGAGGATGCCATTTATTAAAAGCACTGGCTACCTGCTGCCACCTGCTCTCTGAACATGCATGTGTGGGCCAGTGTGGGCGCCTATCTTACATGGGAAGTGAGCAAGTTTGGAAAGGGCAGCATGGTTGTCATGGGTTACCTTTCCAGGACAGAGACAGCGAGGAGGTGAGGGGCCACTGATTTGGAAGGAACGGTGTTCTCACTAAAAGTGATTTGTACAATTTGGTCGCATCACTGGAAGATAGTACATGTGAATGATATATAAATGTGAAGGGGTTATCCACCCGAATGCTGATGGTGGATAATTTCAGGTTGACTTTTCCTCTTGTTCAGACACTTTTTAAAAAATTATTTATTTATAGACCGGGCGTGGTGGCGCACGCCTATAGTCCCAGCACTTGGGAGGCAGAGGCAGGTGGATCTCTGTGAGTTCAAGGCCAGCCTGGTCCACATAGTGAGTTCCAGGACAGCTGGAGCTACAGGGAGACCCTGTCTCAAAAAGATGAAAAAAATTTTTTTATTTATTTAAAGCGTATGAGTGTTTTGCCTGCATGTACATAAGTGGACCACCTGTGTGCAGTTCCCAAGGACAGAAGAAGGTGTCAGATTCCCCAGAACTGAAGTTATAGATGGTTGTTAGCCACCATGTGGATGCTAGGAACTGAACCTGGGTCCTCCACAAAAGCAGTCAGTGTTCTTAACTGCTAAGCCATCTTTTTAGTCCCTAGGTTTTTTTGTTTTTAGATATGGTCTTACTATGTAGCCCCAGCTGGTCTAGAACTTGCTATATAGACGAGGCTGGACTCAAACTGACAGATCACCTGCCTGTACCTCCTGAGTGCTGGGATTAAAGGTTTGTACTACCATGCCCAACCTCAATTTTTTTTTGAGGTGCTAGGAATCAAACTCAGGGCCTCATACATGCTCTGAAAGTGTTCTGCCACTAAGCTACCTTCCAGCTATTAGCTTCTTAATTAGCATGTATTATTTACGTGCATGTATTGTTTATGTAGTCAGGAACAAACAAGGATATTTTTAACGTGGAAAAACTAAGTATACTATAAATGGGTGTCATACTTGTTTAACAAAAGAGGAGGTAGAGCATGTATGCTCCCCTCCATTCCTTGGTGGAGTGGGAGTGCATGGAGGGCCTGAGTGGCCCCAGTATAAAAGGCAAAGGAACCTGTCCAACTTCACCCAGCAGGTAAGATCAGGGAAGGGATTTTAGCTAGCGGGGCCCACCTTCCTCCATAAAGGAGGCAGCTGCCATTTCCTCTATCCTGGGCAGGCTAAGGGTGAATAGAAAGGGTAAGGCTGAGGCAGCAGGATGCAGGCAGGGCAGAATTCTAACTGCCCTCCCACCTTATCCCAGCACAGGTCCTTGCTCAGGAAACCTCACCCCAAGGTCTGACATCTCAGGTCAGTCTGTTGAGCCATGGAGGATGGACATCTTGCTTCTCCAGAGCACCTGCAACTCAACAGGAAACAAAGAAATGATTCCCTAGTGTAGATTCCAGCTGAGCCTAGGCAGGCACCCTAGGTCTTGGAATTCCATCACCTGTTCATCCTGTGACCACCATGCCAAGCTCAGGGCATGCTGACAATTTCCAGTCTGTCCCCTTGGCAGGTATGAAGCCCTAGGGTAGCTTTTCCTTCCTTTCCATTTGGGGAGGAGAGTCGGGCTGACTGGTGAGATTTGCCTAGAGCCTGGGCCAGGTTTTCCCCTACCCTCACTCCATCACACTAGAGTGCCAAGACAGCTTGAGTGTTTTCACAGCAAATCAGGCTGTTCTTGACAGCTGCCTCACTCAGAGCCAGATGTACCCACCCAAATCCAGATGTGAGAAGAACAGAGGCTAAAGGGAAGGGTGGGGCCAACATCAACCACCCAGGGGAGAGCTGGGAATTACAACCAGCAAACCCCAAGTACTCTGATTTGGCAACCACAGGATGCCAGGCTCCAGCCTGCCATGTGGTTCCTCACGCTAATAATCAGGCACATTGCAGTGGATACCATTGCTGGCCTGGACAGAGGCTGGAGCTAAACTTCAGAGGTGTTAAGGTACTTTATGAAGATCATCCAACTAGCAAGAGAGGGCACTGGTACCCAAGCTGGTTCATGTGGCTCTGAGGCAGTGGGTCACACAAATGCCGATGTGGTTGGGGAGGAGAGAAACAACTGTTCCCCAGGTCTCTTCCATCTGGTAACACCCATTGGCTTCCACTTCCTCCCAATTTGCAAGCGTCCAGAGATGAGAAAAAGCTCTGATTAGGGCAAGGCTGGGGGTGGGGAGTGGGGGCTTCCTCCAGCAACGGAAGGAACTGTGGGCACCTTCCCAGCTCTATGTGTGACCCTGTCCAGTAACCCTGGGCCTCCATCACATAAAATGACTTCCTAGAACCTGGCGAGGTGGCATATGCCTTTAATTCCAGCACTTGGGAGGCAGAGCCAAGAGAATCTCTTATGAGTTCAAGGCCAGCCTGGTCTACATAATGAGTTCCAGGCCAAATGGGGCTACAAGGAGATCTTTTTGTCAAAAAGACAAAATAAAAATGACTTCCTAGAGTTGCAGAGCTCCTCTGTCACAAAGAACATTAAACTCACTAGGGATGTTCAAGAAGCCCCCTCCCCCACTGGTTTTAAAATTTTATCTACTGTGATTGTGTATGCTGGCATGTGTGTGGAGTAAGAGGACTACTTTGCAGAGTCGCTTCTCTCCTTCCATCTTCACATATATGCTGGGAATTCGAACTCACATCTCCAGGCTTGCAGCTAAAGCTTGGACCCAATGAACCATTTTGCCAGCCAAAGGAACAGGTTTTGAATCTAGTTCCACCTGGGACTCTGTGACCTTGGGCAACATATCTCTCCTCTCTGGGACTCACCTTCCCCCATCTATAAAATGGGCTGACCCATCCCTACACTGAAAGTGAGAAACCACTTGCTTAATATGAGTCCACAGTCACTGTCAACCGGTATTCAGCGAGCATCTGGAAGGCCTTTCTCAAGCACTTTGGCTCTCCCAGGCACTGCTAGCAAAAAGAACAACGAATCGTCCCAGGCCTGGGCCCCCTCCTACCTGCGGGGACGGGGCTGGCCCAGAGTCTGGTTCTGCCGCAGCCAGGTCTCCCTGGGTCCCAATACAGAGCGGCACCAAGATCTGCAGTCACAAGGTGGCGCGCGGCCCCGATATCACGCCGGGCCCCAGCGCACCAGGGTCTCCAGCACACCTCGGGCTCCAGCCAGGCGCCCACCGCGCAGCTGCGGGTTCGAGTACCAGATGTAGATCTTTTTCCCAGGGGTCGCACAATCGAACCATGGGGAGGAAATTCAGGCGATCCGGTCCCTTGCGCTCAACCGCAGGCTGTGGGAGGGACCTCCCCCTTGCTTCCCGGCCTGGGCGATGTCCGAGTGTCCGCTCGGGCTCAGGGCCAGATATCGGGTGTGCAGGCCCCCGCCCTCCCGCTCCTCAGCTCCGGCTCGCGTTCCCGCGCCGACCCCTCCCGGTCCCTGGCCGGGGCGCAGCCCGGATCCGTTTCAGGACACTGCAGCCCTAGCTAAAGATAGGAGAACGCCTCACCATAGTCTAAAAATACGGCCTGCGGCCCGGGCGGGGACACTGGGCGGTGAGAGGATGAGCCCAGGTCCCAGGGCTGGGGTGCGGGCTCCCCACGGAATGCAGCGCCCCGCGGGGCGTGGGAGGTGAACGGAAAGGGGTGCGGGGACCCGGCGCCGGAGGGAAACACCGCGGAGCCCGGGAAGGGACCTGATCCAGCGCGGGCGGGAGCCGAGCCCCGAGCGGGTGGGTCTCTTTGGGCCGCGGGCGGCCTGCAGAAGCCGGCCCGAACTCACCGAGAGGCTGCGAGCGGCGGGCGGGCGAAGCTGCAGAGCTGCACGGCTGGACCCGCGACCCGGGCCGGGCTGGGAACTTACTGCGCGAACCAGGGCGCTGAAACCCCGCCTCCGCCCCGCCCCAGCCAGAGGAGCCAATCATAGGGCCGCATCCCGCCGGCTCCCCACCCACCTCCCCGCCCACCCGGGCGCAGCCTAGGCTCCCCTGTCCACCGAGAGGCTCGCTGCTGGGTCCGAGCCGCATCCAGTCCCGCCCGCTCCGGTCGCCCTCGGTGTCAGCGGTGGACCTCGCGGACTCCAGCCCTGCGTGGTGGAGTCAGAGCCTGCTAGTGGCCGAAAGACCGAATTCTGCAGTATTCTCCGAGCAGCTTCGGACCGGTTCCCTTCCCTGCGGGGCTGGGGCAGGGAGGCGCCAACACACGAGGAAATTGTAGGACTATCTGGGAATGAATGGGGGCTACCAACTTAGGAGCATTTGGGGGGGGAGAGACAGAGAGACAGAGAGACAGAGAGAAGGAGGAGGCGGGGGAGAAGAGGAGAGGGGAGAGACAGAGAGCTAGAGGTGTGAGGGGAGGGAGGAGAGGGGGGAGAGAGGAGACACAGAGAGATAGAGGGGGAGAGAGGAGAGAAAGCGGAAGGAGAGACAGAAAGACAGAGGTGGGAGAGAAAGGGGAGAGAAAGAAAGAAGAGGGAAGGCGGGAGAGACGGGGGAGAGAGAAGAGAGAGGAGAGGGGAGAGATAAAAGGAGAAGGGAGAGGGGATTAGAGGAGAGAGGAGAGGAGAGAAGAAGAGAGACAGAGACAGTGGGGGGAGAGGGAAGAGAGAGAGCAGAGAGAGGAGAGGGAGAGGGCCTGCTGGGCAGGCCTGTGTTTGCCGTCCAGCTAGGTAGTTTCCCAAATGGGTTGGGCTCTGCGACTCATTCATTCAGAACAACGTCGCACAGTACCAGAAAGGGTTATTGAAGGAGGAGGTCCTGAGATTCCTGAGATAGACCAAGGGAGACTTGTCTTTGCTCCTTTCTGTGATAAAATGGATATGAGAGATAGCTCAGTGGTTAAGAGCACTGGCTGCTCTTCCAGAGTTCAAGTCCCAGCACCCACAGGGCGGCTAACAACCATCCTTAACTCCATCCAGGGGATCCGATACCCTCTTCTGACCTCTACAGGCATTGAATGATACAGGTGCACTTACATACATACATGCAGGCAATACATTCATAACACATAAAATAAAAATAAGCTTTTTTTTTTTTGTCTTTTTTGAGACAGAGTCTCCTTGTAGCCCTAGCTGTCCTGGAACTCACTATGTAGACCAGGCTGGCCTTAAACTCACAAAGATCTGCCTGCCTCTGCCTCCTGAGTGCTGGGATTAAAGGCGTGCAGGACCACGCCTGGCCCCAAAATAAGCTATTTTTAAAAAAATCTATCTTGCTGGATGTGGTGGCACGCTCCTTTAATCCCCTCACTTTCAAGGCAGAGGCAGGCAGATCTCTAAGATCGAGGCCAGCCTGGTCTTCATAGTGAATTCTAGGCCAACTGGGGCTACAGGGAGACCCTGTCTCCAAAAGACTAAATAAATAAAAAATAAACAACAACAGCAACAAAGAAAGCAAGCCAAGGTCCCAGCTGCACCAGGACATCCTGAGTTAAGAACTGAGAGCAGTGAGGCAAAAGGATTGCATAATGGTGGGGGAGGGGAACCAGGATGCTTGGCTCCCATACTGTAACTGTGGAAAGGGCCCTTAGGGAGGTGGGGCCGGGAATGCCTTCTACTGGAGGGAAGGATGCTGGGGGTGGGGGAGAGATGTCAGCCAAGCCAAGAGGGAGGGGAGGGTGGGAAGAAGGATTATGAATCATGTTCCCCTAAAGATGTCCATATTCGGGGCTGGGAATATAGCTCAGAGGAGCTGAGTGAGCTTTCTTGTATGTGAGGCTTCTTCTCAGTCCCCAGTAACACACACACACACACACACACACACACACACCCCTAGCATCAAGAAGTCCATACTATAATCTCTAGAACCTATGAATATTTTGTTAGATGAGAAAAGAGAATGTCAATTGCCAATGGAATTATGGTTGCTAATCAATTGACATCTCCATTATCATCGCCATCACCACACCACCACCACTACCATTGCCATAGTCAACATAATTATTGAAACAGAGTCATGTGACCCAGGCTGATCTTGAACTCCTGGGCTCAAGCACTCCTCCTTCCTCAACCTCTCAAATGCTGGGACCACAGAAGTGTGCCACTATGTTCTGCTCAAGTGACTTTACCACAGAGATTACAGGGCTAGAGAGATAACTCTGTGGTTAAGTGCACATAGTGCTCTTCTAGAGGACTCAAGTTCAATTCCCAGCACCCACATCAGGCAGCTCATAACCATCAGAAACTCCAGCTCCAACACCTCTGACCTCTGTGGGCACCTGCCCTCCATGCACATACACAGATACATGTACCTAATTAATTTAAAATAAAACAAATCTGCAAGAATAGTGGCACACGCCTTTAATCCCAGCACTCAGGAGGCAGAGGCAGGTGAATCTCTGTGAGTTTGAAGCCAGCCTGGTCTACATAGAGTTGCAGACCAGCTGGGGCTGCAGGGAGACCCTGTCTCAAAAAGAAAAAAATTAAAAATTAAAAATAAAGGAGAGACCATCCTGGGCTGGGCATATAGCTTAATTGCTAGAGTACATATTTAACATGAATGAAATCCTGAATTCTGTCCTCAGCACCAAATAAACAGGATAAAATAGTGCATGTCTGTAATTCCAGCACTCAAGAGGTAGAGGCAGAAGAGTCAGAAGTTCAAGGTCATCCTCTGATAGATAGTAAATCCAAGGTCAGCTTGGATTACATGAGTCCCTCCCTGTCCAAAAAAATAAGGAGGGAGGGCATCAACTTGGCTTAGCAGGAAAGAGTGCTTGCTGCTAAGTCTGATGACCCAGTTCAATTTCTCGAAGGTTGTTCTCTATATACACCATGACATGTGTGCCCCAACACACCCACAAAGTAAATGTATTTTTTTTTTTTTTTGGTCTTTTTGAGACAGGGTCTCCCTGTAGCCCCAAGCGGTCCTGGAACTCACTATGTAGACCAGGCTGGCCTTGAACACACAGAGATCCTCCTGCCTCTGCCTCTTGAGTGCTTGGAGGCAGACTAAGATTTAGTCTTGAGCTTGCCTTACCCCTTGCTCAGCTTCCCAGGGAGGGGTTGGGTGGATTCTGGGGATTAGTCTGGTGGTTTGGAGGAAAACTGAAGACAGTTTAGGGAAGGGGACTGGGCCAAACTGTGATATGGATGAGGGCTATGCTTTGACTATGTCCCACCAAAGACATGTTCTAGAAACTTAATTCCCACTACTCCAGGGTTGGGAGGTAGGGCTTGACGGGAGGTGCTCAGGTCACAAGAGTTCCATGCTCAGAAAAGACAGTGCCAATTATCGAAGGGCTTGAGGGTACAAGTTCTTTTTCTCTGTCTCCCTGCCTGCCTCTCTCCCTCCTGCCTCCTGCCCTGGGATGAAGCAGTGTGAAAACCCTCGACAGATGTCAGCTGCAGTCCAGATGTTCCTTGGTGTTCCAGCTTCTATAAGCTGAATTCAGAGCTGGTAACATAGCAGAGAGCTACAGGATGGAAGCTTGGAGAATTACAGGCCCTCTTCCAAGGCCATACTGCCAGAAAGTAACCCAGAGCTCTTTGTGGGTAGGTGATGGGGAAGGGGGTAACAGGGTTACACAACAGCAGAGCCTTTAAACCAGGACTGACATTGCCCCCCTGTGCTCTGGGGACTGTTTCTAGCCACCCTGGATGTGATAAAGTTCTGCTCAGTGTAGGCATTCCATGCTGCTCAGATCGCTCTCAGCACCAAAGAGGATACTAACATGTCCGCAGGATGGCCTGGCTCTGGGTTCCGCTCTTAGAAAGTGCTTGGGGAAGGCATTTGGCTTTTCTCCATTCATGAACAGGGTGTTCACTTGGTTAGGGCTGCAGAGTCCCTGGAGAGATTCCCAGTGGGTGGGATCTTGTATAAATGCTTAGCATCCGCACCGTAGCACCACAATTAGTCATTGATAGAATGGAATTTCAAGCTGAGCACCATGGTGCATGCTCATCATCCCAGTCCTCTAGCACCTAGACAGAAGGAACACCACAATTTCTAGGCTAGCCTTGTCTATAGAGTGAGACTCTACCTCAAAAAAGAAAGAAAAGGGGGCTGGAAAGATGGTTCAGTGGTTAAGAGCACTGGCTGCTGGTGAAGAGGACCCAGATTTGGCTCCCAGCATCCACATGGCGGTTAACAATCATCTGTAACTCTAGTTCCAGGGGGATCTAACACCCTTTTCTGACCTCTGTCGGTACTGCATGACCTGGTCGCAGTCATGTACATGCAGTCAAAACACTCCTACACACAAAAATAAATATTTTTCAAAGAAAGAAAAAATAATAAGTAAATAAGATTTCAATTACTAAATGGCTTTTTACACAATTTCTCAGTCTATATGTGAAGTCCTAGATGACCTGGGTATGTACAGCTGGGGAATCTGGAGCAGTAGCCTAAGTCCCCAGGGATGATCAGGGTGACTTAAATCGTTGACTCTGAGACACTCGGGCAGGGGTCCCCAGCTCCAGCTTGGACTCTGTGCTCAGGTTGGATGCCCCAGTTGGAATGTGGAATGCCCCTATTGGGAAGGGTCTTGGGTACCAAGATGGAGGACCCAGAAGGCACTTGGAGGGATAGGGTGGGCCATGCAGACAGTTAAAAGAGGCTGGTCAGCTTCCTTCTTAGCCCACTGCCTCCTGGATGTAGGATGGGCCCCCATCAGCCTGCGGTTGCCTCCCCCACAGTGATGAGCATATAGGGTCTGACTCAGCCCTTCCTTCCCCTCCTGGCTTTGTCTTCCTGGAAATTGCCCTCATTGTGGGCCATAGGCCCTGGAGGATGGAGTCAGAAGTCCCCTCCCTCAAGACTGGACAGAACCAACAAGGATGTCCCACTCCTCTCTGTGGGGCTGGAGCCAGCTCTCCATCCTTGGGTTCTGAGAGGTGAGTGGGATGACAGGCCTGATAGGGACCTGGGATCAGATTTCTAAGGGA